AAAACATTAATGTATGATTTTCATTATAACTATATGATTAAAAAGTTTAGTAAAATCAAATTATTGTATACAGATACGGATAGTTTAATATATCATATATTTACAAATGATTTTTACACTGATATAAAACCTGACCTTTCATCATACTTTGATACCTCAGATTATGATACAAATAATATTTTTGAATATCCAAAATGAAATAAAAAGAAATTAGGTTTTTTTAAAGATGAAAATAATGGTAAAATCATGAAAGAATTTGTGGGTTTACGATCCAAAATGTACGCTTTTAACTTAGAGAATAAGACTATAGCCAAGGCAAAAGGGGTAAATAAATGTATCACTAAAAAGATGACAATGAATAGTTATAAGTCTTCTCTATTTAATAAAAAAGTGCAATATTATAGTATGCTTAGATTTAAATCAATTAAACACACAATTTTCACACAAAAATTAAATAAGATAGGTTTATCATATAATGACACAAAGAGACATATTTTAGATAATAATATTGAAACATTAGCTTGGGGTCATTATAAACTGCGTTAAGTGTTGATAGTTTTTACTTTTATGTCTGCGTTTAAGAAAAATTTATATTGATTGTAAAATTATGATAATACTATAATATGACGTAGTTTATTACACATTTAATCATTGTTTTATTGTAAATAATTTAAGTTAATTGTTGTTTCTATTTATTTGAGGTTGAGTTAATTGTAAAATTATGATGTACTAATTGTTGTTTCTATTTATTTGAGGTTGAGTTAATTGTAAAATTATGATGTACTAATTGTTGTTTCTATTTATTTGAGGTTGAGTTAATTGTAAAATTATGATGTACTAATTGTGTTAGAAATAGTATACAGATAATTCTGTTTTATATAATTTTTGGAATATATATTAATTGTTTACACCAACACTTTCATTTTTTATTTCACCCCTTTGAACTTTAGACGTGTGTTATGTTGCACTTTATCCATCCGTTCACTGCTATTGTGGCAGGACCAAGTGGGTGTGGGAAGTCAAATTTTGTAACAAATTTCATAAAATCAGTTACAGAAATATGTAATTGTGATTTTAATCCAGATCACATGGTGCTTTGATGAAATGCAACCATTATATAATTTACCAAATGTTAACTATCATCAAGGAATTCCAAATCTTAATATGTTTGATGGTGAAAACCCACATCTTGTTATTATTGATAATCTAATGAGAGAGACCGATGGAAGAATTGTGGATATATTTACAAAAGGTAGTCATCACAGGAATCTTAGTGTATTTTATCTAACACAAAATTTATTTCATCAGGGTAAAGGACAAAGAGACATATCTTTAAACTCAAGTTATATAATATATTTTAAAAACCCTCGAGATAAAACTCAAATAAGATATTTAGCAAGACAAGTATCACCAGATAACCCAAAATTCATTGAAAATGCCTACAGGGATGCAACTCTAGAGGCGCATGGATATTTAATGGTAGATTTAAAACAGAATACCAATGATTTTTGTCGTATCAAGACAAATGTCTTTCCATTTAATGGTTTCTGTACAGTCTACGTCCCCACAAAAGAGTTTAAATACACCAAGAATCAAACAATTGAAATCATTGCTAAATGATGCATCGTCGACTCACAACGTATAAACATTTGCTAACCGCTTTGCATACGCTTAAACCAAAATATCAAAGAGCATTACTTAAAACGTGTGATGAAGAAGAAATTAACTGTATTTGTGAGTGTATTCATAACGTTTTACAAGGAAAAGTACCTCTTAAAGATCAGGATAAACAAAAATTGAATAAACATAAAAACATACTCCGTAAACTAGTACATAAGTGTAAACATAAACTAAGAAAAAATATAATTATACAAAAAGGAGGGGCTTTCTTACCAACAATATTAGGTGCAATATTGAGTGGATTAGTGAGTGGACTAGCCAGTTAACATGGAAAATGCAAAGAAAATGATACTTATCGAACCTGGATTGATTGAAAAATTAAAACAAGAAAATAAGGTTAATAGTAATTTATCTCGATTAGATATTGAAATGCAAAATATTATGAATAGTAAGACGGAAGACCGAAAGAAATGGATATTATATTTACAAACACTGCAAAGATACCTTCATTTTACCGAAGAGGATCGTCAACCACTCAAATTACCAATTTATTCTGATACATCTAATGAAGATTCAAATGAGTCAAAAATTGGTTTTAAAAATAAAGATAGAGATCTAAAAACTTCAGTTGATATTGAATCTTTGCTGGAGGAGAATCGATCCATTAAAAGTAAAGAAAATGATGAAAATCCACTTTACACACCAGCTCAAATACTCAGTTTAATACCAAAAACTTATCATAAAAAAGGGCAGTTATTATTAAACTTAGTTGAAACAAGTAAAAGTAAAATACATTGGGATAATGAAGGTACAGTCATAATTGATAGTGAAAAAATTCCTGGAAGTAATATTGTTGATTTAATAAATGATTCACTAAGACCCCTAAAAAGAAGTGATCCGGTAGGGTGGGTTAGATTTGCTGAAGCATTAAAAGATATTAAAGTACCACTTACTTATATTGGAAATCCAAGGAGATGTGAGATTGAAGTTCAAGAGTTTTCTACACCGGTCAGTAGAGATAAAAAGTCTACAACTAAAATACGTAAAGGACTTGAGTGGGAAAAATGGACCCCGTACTAGAAGAAATTAACAGGATTTATTATGATCCATCTAATCCCGCTGGTTTTGGTAGTATTGATAAATTATGAAAAGCCATGAAGGGTAAAATGAATAAAAAGCAAGTAAAGGAATGGTTAAAATCACAAGAAACATACACATTACATAAACCCATTCGAAAAAAATTCCCGCGTAATAGGTACATTCTATCAAATATTAATGAACTGTGGCAAGCTGATTTAAGTGATATGCGAACTTATTCTCAATATAATGATGGTTTCAAGTATATACTTTGTATTATTGATGTATTTAGTAAATATGCTTTTGCAAGACCAATGAAAAAGAAAAACTCAGAAACAACTAAAGAATGTTTTGAAAGTATATTTACTGAAAGTAATTTAACACCTACTCACATACAATCCGATAAAGGTACAGAATTTGTTTCAAAAGATGTACAAAAATACTTTAAATCCAAAAAGATTAATTACTATACCACTAACAATCCTGACATTAAGGCTAGTATTGTTGAACGATTTCAAAGAACACTAAAAATGAAAATGTGGCGTTATTTCACTCATAATAATACTTATAGATATATAGATGTTTTACAAGATTTAATATACTCTTATAATCACAGCTTTCACTCTAGTATTAAGATGTGCCCATGTGATGTAAATTCCAACAATATTATGACAGTTTGGACTAATCTTTATGATAGACGGTCAAAAAAACTTTCTTTAGAAAATCCTAAACCAAATTTCAATGTGGGTGATTATGTTCGAATAACTAAATATGAACATGTATTCCAAAAAGGATATGAATCAAATTGGAGTGATGAAATATTTATTATATCTTCAATAATTGATAGATCTCCATGGGTTGTTTATACAATAACAGATTTACAAAATGAACCAATAATTGGTACTTTTTATGAAAGAGAATTACAGAAAATCACTTACAACCCCACCTCACAACATAAAATAGATAAAATAATTGACACTCGTTATTCAGGTAACAGAAAAGAAGTATTAGTGAAGTGGAAAGGTTATCCAGATAAATTTAACAGTTGGATTTTAGCTTCTAGTTTAAAAGAAATATGAATAAAGAAAGTTTCTATTTAACTTTGCTCAGCAATAGTTCAATGGAATACTTTCCTGATAACAAGACCACAAATTTTTCAACGAAATTACCAAAAGCTATAAAATTAGAAGGTGAATGGTCGGTTGGAGTTGTCGAGTTTCAATATCCATGTACCATGTTTACTGTTCAAGACCATGAAAATGTTATATACATTACAAAATCTATGTTAATGCCTAATGAAGATAAACCATCCACAGTGTACTACAAAAAACATATTCCAGCTACCAACTATGATAACGTTGAGCATATTTTAAGAGTGTTAAATGGTATCGGAGAGAACTTGAAATTTCGCTATGATGAAATAACAAAATTTGTGTCTATTTCGGTATTGGATAAAAATATAACATCCGTAACATTATCACCCAAATTAAGTTTACAGCTAGGTTATGAACCAAATAAAAATCTCCTAGAGAGAAATTTTGGAAAGTGTCCTGCTAATTTACACTTAGGGTTACCATCTCAACTATTTCTATATTGCGACATTATCGATCCTCAGATTGTGGGTGATGTTATGACTCCTTTATTAAGAGTCATTTCATTAGATCCTACAAAATACATTTATGGTGCAAATAAAATGCACGTTTTCTCTCAACCTCACTACTTACCTGTTATGCGAAGAGAGTTCGATACGTTGGAAATAGTTATAAGATCGAGTACAGGACAAAAAATACCATTCCAGTTTGGAACCGTGTGTATTAAACTACATTTCCGAAAATTATAATAATGAATTCTCTTCGTGATCATCATAAATGTCCATATGAAAATTATTATACACATCAAGTTGGATCAGGAGTTGGAGTAATTTATAAGGGTTCACCATATCAACGCGGTCATGGTATTGGGAGCTTCTTAGGGGGGTTATTCAGATCAGTTTTACCTTTACTTTCAAGTGGTGCTCGAGTGATTGGTAAGGAGGCATTAAGCGCTGGAGTAGGACTTTTATCGGATATGGTTCAAGCCCGTCCTATGGAAGCCTCAATAAAAGATCGTCTAAAGCAAGTTAGTACGAATTTAAAACGAAAGGCTGATGAGAAAATTGATCAATTTAACATGACTGGATCTGGGTATAAAACTAAAAGAAAACGATTGACATCGTTCATTCCACCATTAACTGCTAAAGTGAAAGCTGCGAAAAAACTTTGTCTAAAACCAAAAAATATCAAAGATATATTTTCAAACTAAATATGTCTTTCCTTCATAATCATTCTTGTGAGTGCGTTAAGTCAGAATTGGATTTGTTTGCACTACCGTCTACACAAACTAGCATTGAAAATGGATTGTGGATTCATTATAAACCAATTTCATCTCTTGGTGATGATGGACCTATCGAGTTTCAAGTTCCTGGGACCGGCGATGACTACATAGATTTGTCTCATACATTACTCCACATAAAGGCAAAAGTATTAAATCAAGATTCAACTAACTTGGTATCTACTACAATAGTAGCACCTGTAAAAAATTGGCTGCATTCACTTTTTAGTCAACTTGATGTTTATTTAAACCAAAAACTTGTATCACCACCTAATAATACCTATGCATATCGAGCATACATGGAAACCCTTTTAAACTATGCCCCTGCTGCTAAACAATCTCATCTTACTTGTAGTCTTTGGTATGAGGATACAGCAGGAAAAATGGATTCTACAGATGGTAAAAACATAGGATTTGTTAAAAGACAGGAATTGATTAGTGAAAGTAAGGAAATAGAAATGATTGGTCATCTTCACGGTGACATTTTTAACCAAGATAAATTTTTAATTAATGGTGTTGAAATGAGTGTTAAATTGGTTCGATCAAGAGAGAGTTTTAATTTAATTGTTGGGTCAAACGATGTAAAGTTTAAAGTTTGCATTACGGACGCAACTCTTATTGTTCGACGAGCACGAATTAATCCAAGTGTATTACTCGCACATCAAAAAGTTTTAGCTTCTACCACTGCTAAATATCCTATTAGAGCTGAAGTAAAAGTTTTAACAATTCCTTCGGGTGTTCAAGGAAAAACTCTTGATAATATATTTTTAGGACAGGTACCGAAAAGATGTATAATTGGATTTGTGAACAATTCTGCATTTAATGGTTCCCTTACTAAAAATCCATTTAACTTTGAAAACTATGGTATTAATTCTTTCAGCTTATATATTGATGGTCAACAAATACCTTCAAAAGCTTTGCAACCATCTTTTAATAATAGCATATTTACATCAGCATATCATACTCTATTCTCGGGAACTGGTATTCACTTTCTTAATGAAGGAAATGGAATCTCTTGTGAACAGTATGGCAAAGGTTACTGTCTATTAGCATTTGACTTAACTCCTGATTTATCAGCTAACTCATCAACTCATTGGAATCTCATAAAGCATGGTAGTGTAAGAATAGAAGTACGATTTGAATCCTCATTAATACAAACAATTAACTGTATAGTTTATGCTGAGTTTGATAATATTATTGAGATAGATAAAAACAGAAATGTTACTGTAGACTATAGTAGTTAAGGTTATAATATGTGTTGTGTGTTAGATTTTATGTGTTATGTGTAATGCATTTTGTGTGTATGTAACTATGTGAAACGTTATAAAATTAAATAAAACAAATTGTATGCAATATATATTTTTTTTATTTCTTTATAAATCTTCTATTTAATCTAATACAAAACACTGTTCGAGTTGAAATTTTACATAAGCACACTGACTAAACCACTGAACATGCTGCTGCCAAGGATCATCATCATCTTCCCAATCTTTTAAACCACCACCACAATGGAAACACTTGGTCCCGTCTGCATGGCCAGTATAAAAGAAACCAGCTTCTGCAAGATCTTCAGGTTTCTGTCGCATAACGAGGGGCCAGTTTTCGAAACTAAGCAAACGGCTAGATTTTGAACTGAAGAATGGATATTCAGCTCTTGAGTACTGCATACTCTTCTCGTTCTCCACTCAGTGTTGTAGTTTTGTTATTCAATGATGTGTTTTGTACACGTATGCCACACTCATCTCTTCCTTCCGCTCTTGTCTTCCTGTAATTGAAGTAAACAGAATCACATTCACTAATGATCAGCTAATGACTGTCATTGTTAAAAAAGTATTTTTTAACTTTTTCACTTTCTGCTATTGTCTTTGTTATATTGTATACGAGGGCGTTTGTGTTGTCGTAGATGCTATCCTTATTAGTCTTTACGTAATATTTAATTCTCGTGGAAGCATGTTTACAATGATCAGTAGTTGGAATCTTGGATAGCTTCTTCATATCGTACATTTCAATTTTGATGAGATGCGTCGCTTGGTCTCCGTCGTCAGAATTAGTAGAAATGTATGATACACCATCTCTAGCGGCTCGTGCTACGGTTGATGATAACAGCTTCCTCTTTTTTATTTTTGATTCAGCTTCAAAAAAATGATCAATCGATTGCGATTTTCTTTTTCCACCATCGCATGTGTTATTATTAATGACGAGGTTATCACTCTCTTCTTGAGGGGAGAGTAGCGAGTAGTAATACTGTTTATAGGTATCTTCATCGAAGCTCAATGATTTCTGCAACAACACAGTTATCATGTTAATATCAATTTGTTAACACTTAATCATAAAAGTTAAAAAAGTTAAAGTTACAGCCTATTAAAGTCCACTGCTGAACATAGGCCTCCTCTCATTTCTGAGAGGGTTTTAGAGCAAGGAAATGTCCGCCGCGCTCCCTCAATGTGTGTTGGCGAACTTCACATGCCTTCGAAATTTTCTCAGACATGCAGGTTTCCTCACGATGTTTTCCTTCACCACCAAGCACGTGGTAATAAGCACTTAAAATTGCGATTAACAATTTTATTGGTGCTGGCGGGGATCGAACCCGGGTCGCGTACTGTGAAATTTACAGCTAGCGCTAACCATCTGAGTTACCACGGCTTAATCATATACATACACAATATTTAAATAAAATAATACACACACATGAAAATAACAGAAAAAAAGTAATTTAGTCAATAGAATAAACACTTACATCCATAGCCTTTGGTGTATTGAAGTAACACAAATGTACTATTGATAGATCCACTGTAGTCAAACGACCGTACACTAACTAGATGACTGCGTCTGTTGGTCTTATATACCACCAGTACGTAAAAATTCTAATCTAAAGTATTTCCGTAATGAGTTGATAATTACTTTATGCGTCAACCAGTTTATCTCACATTTCCGTTGTCTATCTCAACATTTCTTCGTATTGTGTTTTGTTTGGTGATCAATGACTCAAGTACGATTTGTATAACACAAAAATGCAATTTAATATTTAGAAACATATCAGTTTATCTCACATTTCCGTTGCCTATCTCAACATTTCTTCGTATTGTGTTTTGTTTGGTGATCAATGACTCAAGTACGATTTGTATAACACAAAAATGCAATTTAATATTTAGAAATCACTATAATTGACCATTCCTATGTTATTCATTGAGTAGATTGGTACTGTAATAATCTACTAATAGCAGTAATATCATGGATACACTAGATGTACAACAACATCTGAAAAAGATTCACCCCAGTCTAGAAAATAATGTTTATGCAGCTAATAGACTGCCTATGTATACCCACGTACCAACGTATATAATATGTAATTTGGATACAGATGATAAACCAGGGTCACATTGGGTAGCTTTATATATCGATACGAATGACGTCGGTCAATATTTTGATTCATATGGACGATCACCTGTACGATATCATCTAGAGTTTTTAAAAAGGAATTGTAAAAGATGGAACTGGAATGTTGATAGGATTCAGAATGAGTGGACTTCAGTTTGTGGCGAATATTGCTTAATGTATTTGCTATATAAGTTTCAAGGATGTTCAATACATAGTTTTACGAGTATATTTACAAGGAACACATTGTACAACGATATTTTAGTGGATGAGATGTTTCGCTCCTATTTTATAGATAATAAGTAATAAGATTTTGTATTTTATAAATAAAAATTGTAACAAAATTATGTAGTGTTTTATTGATGATTCAGATTAGCGTTGTATAATTAGGAACAAAGAAGTATAATACAATAGCACTGATATAGTCGACGCACACGCTGCAATGAAGGTGATTAATGAACAATAGAACAATAGAAATAGGAACAATGGGACGCTAATGACGGTGGAGGCCCTTACCGGATATCAATTAGATATTAGCTAATTGATCTACACATCTCCGGAACCGTGCATTCTACACAAAAATGGACCGCGGATTCGTGATCAGAGCATGCCAAAACCTTTTTTTTTTTTTTTTTTAGGATCGTGTGTCGACGAACGTCGTTGAACCACGTCTGACTCAGGTGGTCTAGAAGTGGTACAACTACACTACTCACTCCTGCGCAAACCGAAGGTCGGTGGTGCAGTCCAGTTTTCGATGAAGGTGCAAGTGCCGGGAGTTGCCTTGTAATCTACTATGACTTAAGAAGAAAGCAAGTATATCTGCGAGACTGTCGTAATGCAGAGGGGCAGTAAGGCTCAGACCCATACCGAAGAACACTGTACTGCAGAGAGTAGCTTGAAGGAACAGGAAGTTTTCCAATACAGCGATGAACTTTGTAATTCTGAGCTAACTTACTGGAGTTAAAAACGGCAGGCGATGTTTGCTCGGAAGCGAATGGAAGGGGTTTTTCAATGGAAATGGAAATAGAAGTGGTTTTTCAACCGCCGGGCGAGGTGTTTAGCACGCGAGCAGCCAACACTCCGTGTAGTACGGAGCTGTTCCATATATACAGAGTTATTCGTGACGCTTCGGTCCGTTCACGCTTGTAGCGCGACGACATCGCCTCTACAAATATATTAAGTTTATTTTTCATTGAATAAAGGTTAGAAAAGGTTCGAACAGTTCAGTCTGCTTGTGAATGGATGCTGCGGTCCTTATACACCTACATACATCATCAACTAAGAATCAATATATAGATGCGTTGTCGCCCGTGAAGACTAAGATAGAACGAACTCCTTAAAAGGGTGTCAGTAAAAAGTAATTTATAACATACATACTTATTGTAGAATCGATAGCCAATCTACGATCCAAAGAAATATTTTACGATTGCTGCCCATCAGTTAAGAAGAATATGGTAACGATTAAAAAAAAACTAGAAAAATAAAGTTAAGAAATAAAGAACCTTCTTGGATATCTATTAGCGGACAATTCATCCGATATTTTTATGCATAAAAAAGCTTCATTGTTTTTTTTTTAGAAGAGCATTTTGGTGCTTATAATTTAAAAAATTTGCTTGCAGAAAACCTTTTAAAATTAGGATTTTGATATGAGAATATTTAGGTGTAAATCGTTCACTATAACATACATACACATATTATAACCCCCATGTACCTGTACATGTAACCATCCCCTCTGCTCAGTGGCTTAACGTCGATCCCAAGACCTCTTATGTCGTAGGGCTGTGCAGAGGGGAAACGTATGAAAACTTGCACACAACTCACATTACACGCACATCCACACATTACACACAAACACTAACACATTTACTACATGCACACACACTACACACTATTTTTACTATTTTTTACTTACCACGTTATGGAGGGACTTACCTACTTCTGATACGGGCGCGTTTCGCGTTCTAAAGAAGGAGTCTACTATTGTATATGTACTTGTATGACCTTGTTTATTTTGCATAGAAGTCAGTGGTGTTTATGAATAAAAACTGTTTTTTTATTAAATCTAAAGAAATGGGCTCCAAGTCAACTTAAAACTTCAAAATTTTACACTATAATTATATGCTTTTTGGTATAATATATTAAATGGGTACTAGAAAGAGCATATTAAAAAAAGGAGTAGTATAGTGTATTTTACAATGACTACACAGTTAACGGACGTAATATACAGATACAGCATGTACTAGAAAATTATTCTGTTTATATTTTTGGTTGCTACGCAACTCGGTTTTCGTTTCCTACACAAACAATCAAAATGTTTGAGGAATACAAAACACTATACCTTTACAGAACGAAACAGTACGAAGAATGTCTTCAATTGTGCGACAAAGTCTTAAAAGATAAAAGTGATCGTATGGTAGAGTTCATTCGGATGCGTGCAATGACGGCACAAGTTAAGGTAGCCGGCAATGGATACGAAGAAGTTGATTATTTGCCTTATCAGGAAAGTCTCACTTCAACTGCTGTGGCTAAAACACCACGACCCGGTACTTCATTTGACAAGAAAATCACTACTGCTCATCTTACCCAAGCAAACGTAAGCTTTCCAAAAGTTAATATTATCAATAAAATTTTATAAAAAAATTAATCAATCAAGAAATCAAAATCGTTATTACGTCACAAAACTGATGTTAACAAGTAATAGCAGAATACATAACGCTAATTAACATGTTCTGTTTTGTCGTATCATAAAAAGGTCATTTAAAAATTAAAAATAAAGTTGCATCCCTTATACACGTCCCACTGCTGGCTGCTGGGTACATGCCTCCTCTCATTTCAGAGAGTGTTGTAGAGCAATTAGTACACCGCGCTGCTCCAGTGCGTGTTGCTGAAATTCACATATTATATCCTAGAAATATTTTACACTTCAAACATGCAGGTTTCCTCAGGAATTTTTTTATAGAATTAAGGTGATAAACGAGCACACAGTCCACCTGATGGTAAGTGATTGCTGTGACCCATAGACGTCTACATATATCCTCAATAAAGAATCAAAATGCAGATGCGTTATCACCCGTGAGGACTAAGATGGGATGTCTCTTTTCCAGTAAAAGGGGTCTCCGGTTCTCACACACCATACGAAACACAGCAGTGTTCAGCTGCTATTTTACGCTGGTATTATGTGAGAGCGTGGTCGTTCCTCGGTCGAGCCGATCCATTCGTGCTACAACTATACCAGTAATATAGCTGCAGCATGGCTCTACCACGTATAAAAGGATGTCTTCCTTCATCGCCGATTATATACAAGCCAGCCCTTAAAACTTTATAGATGCCGGCGGAGATCGACTCAGTTTTTTTTAATACATAAGGGTGACAAACGAGCACACATTCCATGTAAGTGGATACTGTGGCCCATAGACATTCTACATTAATTTATGCTTTATTAGAAATCAAAACGCAGATGCGTCGTCACACTTGAGATCTAATATGGAATGCCTCGTATCCAGTAAAAACTTTTTCCGGTTCTCTACACGCTGGTATTCTGTGAGAGCGTGGTCTTTTTTTGAATAAGGGTGACAAGTGAGCACACAGTCCACCTGATGGTAAGTGGTTGTTGTGGCGCATAGACATCTACATCTATCCTCGTTTGCGAATCAAAACGCTTTGTCAGCCGTGAGGAGTAAAATGGAATGTTTCTTTTCCAGTAAAAAGGGTCTCCGGTTCTCTAAACTCACCATACGAAACAAAGCTGCATTAAGCTGCTATTTTACGCTGGTAATCTGTGAGAACGTGGTCCTTCTCCGGTCGAGTCGACTCATTCGTGCTATAACACTAATATACATATAGCTACATCATGGCTCTACCACGATGAGGATTGCTCGCGTACTATGAAATTTACGACAAACTCTTAGGCCCTGGGCTCTTATTTCAATAAAGTTGAAATCGTTTATATATTCTTGTGTGGTGTCAATGTGCTATAATAAGACAAGTTTAGTTTTATGTCCTACGTAATCATACGCAATTTTAGATATTAATCATTTCAATTCTGAAAAAAATTAAACGTCTGATTCTACGTCTAACGTTCTGCTTTCACCGCTGAAAATTATAATATTGATAAATGTCGTTAGTTAACTAGCTCTCTATTTCTTCCTTTAACAAGAACTATTGACTAGAGAAGCAAAAGAAAGTTTGGTCATCTTTATTTTGCTTCGCTAACACAGAATTGTAGCTTTAATTTTTTCAAAATAATTTATGCAGGTAAAATCTTTTTTTTTTTATAGGAGAGGGGGCAAACGAGCATGCGGCTCACCTGATGGTAAGTGACTACCGCCGCCCATGAACAACCGCAACACCAGGGGAATTGCAGATGCGTTGCCGGCCTTTTAAATAGGAGTGGGCTCTTTTCTTGAAGGTCCCTAAGTCGTATCGGTCCGGAAAAATCGCTGATGGTAATCGATTCCACAAGGAAGTCATGCGAGGAAGAAAACATCTTCTAAATCGCACAGTGTCGAACAATCGCACAATCATTTGTTTCGTAAAAGTCGACCCGCCTATTAAAACTTAAAAAAGTGAATTAATTTGAAGAAATCAAAAACTAACAATAACGGTGAATAATATTATTAGAAAGGCTTAACAGTATAACAAATAAACATCAGCGGGTTCTCGTTTTATTTTATGCCTTTCCATCCATATGTTCTTTGTATGTAAAAACTATTTCTTCTATTACACTCTCAGAAACGAATTTCTGCAACTGCTACTCTGAGAACTGGAGTTAATGCTCACACAGCACGAGCACATAGCGCAAGAACAGCACTGCACACAGCGTCACGTGCGTCCAGGGCTGCTACCGCTATAGCTGGAGGACCAGCACATAACGCACCCATATCGCTTAGAATTTTATCAAAAGATGAGAAAAATTTTATACCTGCCGCAAAAACCTTGTTTGAGTATGTGTTTTATTGCGAAGGAGACATCCGTAAGGTAATTTGCCAACATTTGTAAACTCTACAATACTGCAAGTATCTACAAAAATATATTTTTGTACAGGCTATGGACATCGCCTTTCAAGCTCAAAAGGCCGATGTAACGGTTGACTGGTGGTGGAATTATTCCCTAGCCCGATGTTATTACACACTTGGCATGTACAGACAAGCGGAAGATTCTCTTCGTCGAGCACTCAAACAGAATAAGCATATTTGTATTTATCTTCGTTTAATAGCCATGTACGTTGCTATTAACCAGCCTATTTCAGCTCTAGATGTATGCAAGCAGGGGCTATCGGTTTTCCATGAGAACACGTCTTTACTTATAGAACAGGCTAGAATCAATGAGCAGATGGGTAACTCCGCTGTTGCAGTAAAAGATTATAGAATGGTCGCTCTACAAGACCCATCAAATATGGAAGCTGTTGCGAATATTGCTATGTATAATTTTTACAACGATCAACCAGAAATAGCGATGCGGTATTACAGGTAAATTAATCTATTATTTATTCTCTAAAACAACGGGGTCACACGGACTTATTTCTTAAATAAAGGTTACTTATTCTATCCTCTGAGGCAGGTAGACTGAAGAAAACCCAGTAATGCTTGGACTTTAATAAGATGTAATGGTAACGGTATTGGCAAAACGTAATTTAATTTTTGTTTAAGTGTGTAGTTATTAAAAATTAATAAATAATTAAAGTGTATGAGTTAAACTGTACTTGGGATAAAAAGTTGGAAGAACAAATAAAAGTGAGTTCCGATTATCCGGATAGATGAACACGCGTTTCCATGTATCCACCCTAGGGCGGATTTTTTAGGGTGGATAAACGGAATAACTCGTTCGATCTCGTGCCAGCACAAATGAAATTATTAATAGCAATTTCAAGTGTTCTATTTACCACGTGCTTATTACTAAGAAAATCATCATGAGGAAACCTGCATGTCTGAAGCAGCGTGGTGGACTAAATTGCTCTATATGATATAGACCACCACGTAGACGCGTGGATGGTCGTCTCTGACCTTCAAGACTGCCAAGCCGTCGAGAACAGATGTCCTCTCTGACGTATACGCAAACTCCAGCCCGAGGCACAAAGGTACCCCGGATAGGAGAGAAGTATCGAACGGAGAGGACACCTGCGTATCGGTTAGAAAGAGCAAGGTCGGCTTCGCCGTCTCCAGATGGTACCTAGTGGACTTCGTTAACGTTCGAATGAAATCCCCTGATGTTGCCGAATTTGACTGATAGCGTGGCAGAGGTACCTTTGTCTTATTGCTTTACTTGCCACGATCAGTATTAATCTTGAGCGGAATTTCGCCCCCCTCCCCTCCCCAGGATACGCGAGGCAGCCTGACCACCCGCGCCAAGGAAGAGTAAGGGAGCTTGGGCGGGGATGCTCAGCCAGAGATTCTCAAATACCAGAGATGCTGGTACCTTTTCAGGCGAAGTAAACTTCTACTTCACGCTGGTTATCTGTAAGGCCGTGGTACCTCCTCGGTTTGAGCTGGTCCACCTATTCATTACATTCTTAATTACAGCTCTTCATTTCATGTCTTACCAGATGTAATTCCATCTAGTCTAGCTCTCCATCTAGCTCTTCCACTGTTAGGTTGTCTGCCTATATTATTAACTGCAATATACTTCGTCATTATTTATGCGTTACACATAATATTTAGTAGTAAGTAGCTTTGCTTTATTATGCCCTGCATTAGGTGAGAAGGAGCTGATGATGAAGTAGTTTTGCACCTTTAAAGTATTTAGTTTAGTTTAAATAGGGCCCCAATTACATTTTTGCCCCTGGGCCCTTGGTTACATAGCTACGACACTGTCAGAAATAAGAGGCTCAAAAATAATAGGCGGCTAGTGCCGAGCAGTGGGATATATAAAGGCTGTAACTTTATCACGATACTGTTTTCTATTTAGCGTTATATTCTAGCTTTTATATTAATAAATTAATATTTTATACATTATATTCACCATGTGATGAGTGTATAGAATAAATCCTCTAATCACGTCCCGTGGTCCACCATGGACCAGCGACCACGTTACCATCCACATCATATGGATGCTTGGCGGTCTACTACTGTGCGATTTACTAGGAGTTTTCTTCCTTGCATGACTCTTCGTGGAATCATTGTTCGCCACCGGCGATTTTTCCTTATCGATAAGACAAGAAACGAGCTTACTTCTTTTTAAAAGGCCGGCAACGCACCTGCAATTCCCCTGGTGTTGCAGTTGTTTGGCGGTTAACACTCACAGGTTGTTTTTTATTGAATATGGATGACAAACGACCACACAGTCTACCTGATGGTAAGTGGATGCTGTGGCCCACAGACATCTACATTATCTTCGATTAAGAATCAAAATGTAGAAGCGCTCTCATCCTTGAGGACTAAGACTAAATATAGGTTGCGGCTCACCTTGTTTACCCCTTCTCCTACAAAAATCGTAGCTATTGAATGCATCCATAACAAGGAAATAAATTGGATAACATAATATCAAAAAACGAAATGGCCAATAATACAATCGGTCATAGCATTAAGCACCTTTATGTATACCCAAATCACATTTTTCAATATCTATCCAATATTAAGATATACATAGGACGCGTATATTTTCAGACGTTTACTCGCTACGACTCCACCTGGCTCAGAGATCTACAATAACCTTGGGCTTTGTTGCTTTTCCTGCAGCCAATGGGACCTTATTTTACCCTGCTTTCGGCAGGCTCTATTCTTTTCAACGGATCCGCCATCAAAGGCTGATATATGGTTTAACCTTGGACACGTTGCATTGGTAAGAAAATTACATTGAGAGTATTAAAATATAGAATTTATTTTTGAACCTCATCGGCAAACGCTGAATCATACCAAAAAACACTCGCGGTGAGCGTTTTGCGTATGTCACACATGCTCGTGTTGTATGCGTTCCAACTACACACACACACACACACACACACACACACACACACACACACACACACACACGCACGCACGCACGCACGCACGCACGCACGCATGCACGCACGCACGCACGCACGCACGCACGCACGCACGCACGCACGCACACACGTGCACACACACAGACACACACACACACACACACACACACACACACACACACACACACACACACACACACACACGCACGCACACGTACACGCACACGCACATATTGATATTTATTGATATTACATAATATATTAAATTACTCAAGTCAAGATTTCATGGCCAAAGAATGCTAAAAGAACTTGGTACAGAAACACCCGCATGTCGTACCAGCAGGTCTAAAACAGGGGTGGTGTGTCCTAAGGCATTTTGGCATGCAATAAATCTGCTTAATTTTAATGTTTACGATATTAATTTTGCTTTTCAGTCTACTGGTGACATGATATTAGCAAGACGATGCCTACAAGTAAGTCTAGCAATTTTTGAAAAGGAATATGTGAGACAAGCGTTAAGGGCCTTAGATACGCGATTACGAGCAAGAAAACATTAAATGAATTAAATTGAGGTAGAGATTTTCTTGCTTTTAACTATATTTATTTTATTTAGCGAGTATCTTCGTCAAATAATAAAAACTGTTAATTAAGTAAATATGTTATATGAATGTTTGGAAAACTATAATCTCTGTAGATACTTTATCTTGTATTGTGTAGGTACATTAAATATTTTTTTATTTGCCTTGTATAAATTTAAATAAGTTATATCTAATAATGACTTCTTATAAGTATAATATTTTCGATAATGCATACTTAGTACCATTGAATAAAACGAATTTCACTGATTTCTAAAATAATTTAATTATGTATACATGGACGTTTTTTTAATAGAATAAGGGTGACAAACAAGCAGACAACCTGATGATCACCTGATGGTTAGTGGTTGCTGTCACTCATAGACATCTACATCTATCTTCGTTTGCGAATTAAAATGCAAATGCGTTGTCAGCCGTGAGGACTAAGATGGAATGCCTCTTTTCCAGTAAAAAGGGTATCCGGTTCTCTACGTACACTCACCATACGAAACACAGCAGTGTTTAGCTGCTATTTTACGCTGGTATTCTGTGAGAGCGTGGTCCTTACCCGGTCGAGCCGACCCATTCGTGCTACAATTATACCATTAGTACAGCTGCAGCATGGCTCTACCACATACAAAAAAAGGCGGAAGGAATTTGTTAAGAAAGAAATGATCCATTGCAATGGCGGCGGTGCATGTGGGCTACTCTACACTCCTTGGTTTGCGTGCAATAAAGGGTTGTCATGTGAAACTAAATTTCCCCACATGATTTTTTTTATAAAACAATTTATCAAAATATATTGATACTAATTATTATTACGTAACTAATATAAATAATACAATTGACGTATAACAAAATTCTATGAATTTCGATTTTGATGCAAATCGAATAATAATCCTATTTAACAACAAAACATATAATCCTGTTCACTTCACCGAGTTCTATTTTAACTTCTTTATAGTCCAGGCTACATGTACGTTTTTGAAACTCCTTGCCCGTGACACCGTAAAGCTCCCAATAAGTATACTTTTAAAAAGTTGATAAGTAATCACCTATTAAAGACAACGCTTCTTACATGAATTATTCATGTCATATATATTGCTAAACAGATGTATATATTCATAGTTACATGTATGAACTACTACTTATAAGTGTATATATTTGTATATATGTATGTATGTATATGTCGCCGCAAGGACATTTTCTGTGGACGAAGCCTAAACTTTGCGCGGACGTTTAATTATTATAATAATCAATAATGTCTAATTATTAATATTACAATTAAATAACAGCAATTTATCAGAAACATAATATGTAACTAGTTAGTTCTATAAAATTCTTTTGGATTATAAATCACTTTATTGACAAGTTACTCCATTAATTTTTACTAATTAAACAGCCGTTTATTCAATTATCAAATTTAACTCAAATATCGTTTTAAATTGTAAATATAAATAATTGTCAATTTGATTCTTAATCATTGTTATTAAAATTACCTAAGTAACCTAACTACATAATTCAATAGAAAGATATTGTTTGGTTTTGGTGACATATTAACCAATTAAATCGTCGACCAATCAGAGCATAATGACGTAGAACATAAACTTGATATTGCGGACGCGGTTGAAGCAGTTATAGGGACAGTGAGTGATCAGCGTCTGAGGATTGAACTTATGAATACCAGAGCAACTTCAGTACTGGAACTCTATATCTGTAGCTTTCTCTATTCGCCCTAAGCTATTTGTATCCGTCGTCGTTCTATAATACTAGTCAGCCGACCACCAAAAGACCTCGTTTATAAAATAAGGTAAACCTTTTTTGTACATTCTGTAGAAAAGCCGGTAACTCAATTGATGAGTGTCGTAATACGGGAAGGAATACTTATATTACAAAAGATAATAATGGTCCAGATAGGCTCGCAAACGCTTCTGCATGTTCTATTTCATCTACGTTTTACTCGAAACCAGGTCATGATTTTGATGTTTGCTATAAACGTTTAACGGCTATTGCTTCCGATAATGAACAAATTACTAAACGTGTTAATAGTATTGCTAGCTCAATTTTAACTTGTATGAACATCCAAATTGGTAATATCCAAATAAGTGTTACATTTGATAGTGGAGCGGAATGTTGTGTTATTCGCGAATCAATTGCAAAAAAATTACCCGGTCGCAGGTATGATGCCGTTAATTACCTTCAAGGAATAGGGTCGTTCTCGGTAATGTCTGTCGGTTTAATCGAATCTGTTTGCATTTATTTGAATTACAGTTCCTTATCCTTCTGGATTATGAACTCACGACGGATATCTTAATCGGTACTAACTTGTTAAAGAAAACTGGTCAAGTGTTTTAGTAACTAATAAGGGTGCCAAACTTATTTATCAATCGCGGATCATGCAGTTACAAAATAAAAACCCGTTAATTGAAAAAATAGATCATGATCTAAGTCATAAGACCGTAATCAAAGAATTACTCATATTGTTAAATAAATACTCTCATTTGTTCATTTGCGGTTATTCTAACACACGTGTCAATACCTGTAGATTAGAAATTCGACTTAAAAATACTAAGAAATACGTTGAGCTTACCGACTAAGTAAGTCCTGAAAGAGAAAAGGTTCGTGGGATAGTTCATGAATTATTAGATAATAATATCATTCGTGAAAGCCAGTCACACTTCTCCAGTCCAATTATTCTTGTTAAAAAGAAAAATGGTGCAGATCGTATGTGCGTCGATTATAGGGAGCTAAACGCGAACACTGTACGTGACCATTACTCTTTGCCCCTAACGGCAGACCAGATTAATAATTTATCAGGTGGTAGATGTATTAACACGTTTGACATAGCTTCCGGATTTCACCAAATTGTCATTTCCGACTGTTCTAAAGAGAAAACAGCACGTTACGCCGGATGGACTCTATGACTACTTAACCATGCCTTTTGGTTTACGTAATGCACGAGCAGTTTATCAAAAGTGTATCAAGCGTGCTCTGGGGCCTTTGTTGAACTCTGGTAGTGCTTGTACTAAGGAAAGTGCACCGAATGATAGGGTTACGCAAGTTTATATTTATCAAGTTATCAGCAAGAGGAGAAACTTTAGGGATGGTATAATCTTTACTTTACTTATCTTCACGCACAATCCCTGACGGGGTAGCCAGAGAGAACAGATCGCCAAGTGTCACGATCCTTACATATCTCTTTCGCTTCTTTCAGATTCATTATCTTCTTCATACATGCACGTCTAGGTATCCGAGTACTCTTGACCCTACCCTCTTCGAGCAATTTGCTCACATGGTCTTCGAAAGTTAGTCTCGGTCTACCTCGACACCTTTTAATATTAACTTTCGCGCTATATATTTTCTTCACCATTCGGTCTTCACTCATTCGCTCAACGTGCCCAAACCACCGAAGCACGCCCTTATCAATTTTTGTGATAAGGTCATCTTTCAAACCTGCCATATTGCGAATCTCTTCGTTTCGCTTTCGGTCGGCCATAGTAACGCCGCACATTTTACGAAGAGATCGCATCTCCACTGCATTCAACTTACTTTTATGCTTCTTCTGGCATACCCAGGTTTCGCTGCCATATAACAAAGTCGGTACCAACACTGCGTTATGTATTGCAAGGCGTGCACTCTTCGCTACGCCTTGCCTTTTGACTAACGCAGTCAGGGCACCATTGATTTTGTTCCCGGCAGCGACACGCCTGTCCACATCTAAATCACATCTTCCATCCTGGCTAAAAGCACTCCCCAAGTATACAATTTCATTTACCTGTTCTAGACATTCCTAATCTTCATGGAGCATATTTTAATGTCTTTAGAAAAATCAGGTTTTTCCATTAATATCGACAAATGTCTCTTCTTTAAAAAATCTGTGGATTTAGGTAATATCATAAAAGATGGCAACGTAACACCTAGCCCTCAAAAGGTAGATGCTCTTGTTAAATCAGCGATACCTATTAACGCCAAACAGGTCAGACAATTTAATGGTCTGGCTGGCTACTTTCGTGGGTTTATTACGAATTTCGCACGTATTATGATTTCCTTTTACGAACTAACCAAGACCGGTGCTAGGTGGTAATGGAGTCATAGACAAGAAGAGGCGCGTAATAAGATCATTCAGTATCGTACTTCCTCTCCCATATTGATGATATTTCGAGAAGACGCACCAAGTCCAGGAGTAGGTGCAATACTTGCCCAAGCAATAGATGGCCAACAACATGCAGTGGCTAGCATGCGCACTACTGAAGCTGAAAGTAGGTACCACTCATATGAGTTGGAAACACTCGCCGTAGTTCAGGCGATTAAACACTTTCGCCATTTTCTCTACGGCAGACACTTTAAAGTGATAACTGACTGCAACGCACTTAAAGTTTCTAAACACAATCATTATAATTACGGAGTCACTATAAAAGTGATTCCTTGATGATTTTTCATAAAACTACTATGATTTATGCAAGATTTAACGACGGAAGTCGGAATATTTATTTCTGTTTCTTACTTACGACAACTACTTCTCGCGGACGGCGTTAGTTGCGTAATGGCGGGCCGACTGGTAGTTCGGAGCTATTCTATATATGCTGCTTTAATTTCGGAACTTTGATAGCGCGATTTAAGCTTCGATGTGTTTCGCTTGTGGCGCGACGACAGCGCCGCCACACATCTTTTGTAACGTTTGCACATGTTCCTTTTAGCAAACCAAACATTTTTTTTGTGGTGAATGGAGGTTTTGTATTGTGACGTGCAGCATAGCCTGTAAAACAGTTCGAACAGTTTTTATGCCAATTCCAAGCGCTTGTGCAACTCGTTCTTGGTTGGGTAACTTGGATAACTTCTAAAAAAGGCCCTCTATTTGCTGAATCTCGTTCAAAGTACTCGTGCAACTTCAAAACCAAGTCACGATACTGGCTGTTAAGAGTACGTCCTCTTTTATACATGTCGTCTAGTTCACACGATAACACCAAAATCACGTAATGCGTAATCAAAGTCCAGAATTAGCAATCAAAGGTCTACGAATATAGCAGAAACAGTCCAAGAGCGATAGCCGAGTCAGGAAATATAATAATAACCAATAACAACTTCCAAGATAGCGAGAGACCGTGGACCGCTCGAAGCATTGACGAATCAATGACGTAGAGAGAAAAAATGGCGGTTAAAATACATTTTTTCAAAATCAAAGTATGGACTCCGGCCTTTTTAGCCAAATCTATTTCCAATATTAACATAATATCAAAATAAAGCTAGAAATATATGTGGCCAGATTTTTTTTTATACGTTTAATTATTAAATAATACGTTTCTCTCTTTTCTAAATGAAAAAGTATCGATTTTTCAGAACATCGATTTTATTAACCAAAAAATGATTTATAACGGTCATAACACTACGGCAATGAACCCAAATATATAACCATAGATAAATATATATGTAGCAAGCTATATATAACAGACATGTCATTGTAATAACGTCCTGTCGAAATATTAATCAACGATGAGTTCGTGTTTTTCAGTGCATTTGTCCAATATAAAGTTAAACTTGGTGTTTACGAATGATACTCACTGTTATACTATATGGATAACATAGTAATTGTTTAGGATTATCAATTTGATTTTTTGATTTCTTACGTAGACGTTCATGCAAAGTTATCGCGGCATAACTTTGTATATGTCGCGAGTATAATGAGTTAATAGTCTCGGAATAACGAAGAAACGCACTATCGCAAGGTTTTGGTCGGGGTATCCTTAACTTTGTAGTGGAATAAGTTCTCTCTTACATCGGATCCTCCAACTCAAAAGCTATAAAAGGGTTATTCATGAATTTTGGGATTATAGGTTTATAGGTCTTCTAGTTTTTAAGTTATGAGTGGTTGAAAGTAGCTTGAACTGGATCGTGTGATATAGTATAGGTACGTACACACCGCGCTGTGCCGGCGCCGGCCCGGCTTGAAGTGTTCGTTAAATATACCCACTGCCGGTCCGTCGACTTTTGTACCAACTTCAAAAAGGAGACTGTACTCAATTCGACTGTATGTTTTTTATATGTGTTACCTCTTACTTTTTCTGGGTGAACCGCTTTCTATGATTCTTTTTTTATTTGAAATCTGGTGCCTCTCATATAGTCCTATATAAATTTGATCAAGGTTTGACCAATAGTTTTATAATTATTCTTAATAATTTATATTGAAGTCGGTTGTACAAAATTTTTAATTTTAAATTATCTTTTCTATACTTCGATAAAACACTGCTTTGCGTCTAAAAAAAACATGTGTGAATGTCGTGGAACACTAGATTGGAACGAAGTTCCTTTCATAGCATTTTTTTAAATATTAGTTATACTACTAAACATTACTAATATTCCCTTAAACAACCTCTGGTAAGCTTAAAATGCTTGTGTTCAAAGTGGTTCACGACAGTAGTAGAATGGCGGATTCAAACCCACCACCTTTCGAATTCGCGGTCCGCGCCCTACCATTAATTAGGCTACTGACGCTTCTAATATATTATTATTGATAAACGTATTATATTATTGATTAACAAATAAATACAAATAAATTTATTACTAGCGTCTATTAAAATGAATTGTCATTTAAAATAAAATACACTATGACACAAGGGGTAGTGACGAAAAAATCTTACACTTTTTGTCGCCTAGCTTCCATCCGCCAAACCCCTACCGTCCGATAAGAAACTTCGTTCCAATACAATACATCGTAGAAATTCGAAGACGATATCTGTTAAATTTCATTGTTTTATGCGTTATGCGGTTAAATAAAAAAAAATCTATATTGTACTTTTATATATTATTTAATAACAATTTCTTGTCGACACGCATATGATGCTTTTAACTATATCACAGAATAAATAATTGTACAAGAATCTATATTATAAGCACAATAAATAATCATTAATAGCAGGGTCAAATAGTTCCATATTGCGAAGTTCTTCATACTTTAGTGCAGCGAGTGAATCTAAAATCGGCTCGGGATGAGTACGTTGTAGTTCATTCTTGTCCTTGTCCTGAATTTCCACTTCAAGTTGTATCCGTGTCACGTGTCGCATCTTCACCTGAGAAATGGATCATACAATTTTATTAAAAAAAAGAATTGTGTGAAAATACGACGGTGTATAAAAAATACATAAAGAACATACTAATGTACTCTTTGAAGAGAGGTAAGAATAATACGTTCGGCTCATCTGAAGTTAAGTGTTGAACAAACTGCAACACCAGGAAAATTGCAGGTTCATTGCTGACCCATTAAAAAGGAACAAGCTAATTTTTTGAAGGTCCCTAAAATGTATCGGCCAGGAAAATATCCGGTGGTAGTCGAATCCACAAAGGAGTCGTACATAGAAAAAAACTTCTAGCAAATTGCACAGTGGTTGATTATTACCGTCCGGATGGTGTACTTGTATGTTTGTGCGTTATGCTACGGTGAAATATGGCGGCTGGAATTAATTCGAATTATCCCATTGAGCACTATCCGTGGTAAGGCAAAGGATGCAACATCTCTTTGCAGTGCCAGTGAATGGGGTCGATCAGAAAGAACTTGGCCGTTGACGATTCGACCTGCTCTTCTCTGGATGCCCTCAAGTGGATGGAGCTGGTACTGGGGTGCCCCGGCCAAGAGATTAGAACATCATTCCATGTGTGAGACTTTGATAAGCAAAGACTCAACTCCAATTACAAGTTTGTTCCATATATTCATAAGTTCATCCATTCAGTAAAGCCTATGTAATTCCACTGCTGAACACAGGTCTCCCCACAGATTGTCTCATACGGTCCTCGCTTGGCAGACGGATTGGCAACCGCAGTTTTTCATTTTCTAGATGTTATCAGGAAGATGATGCTTTCTCGACGTTTCTATCTCCTAGTTTGTTTCCCTCTAACGCCTCGTACGATACTCACGGGGCCGTACGATACCTACGGGACGATATCGGCACAGAATAAATAATAGTACTACGTTATATAGGGTAATGAATATTTTTACGCCGCGCCGCCACTACACGGTAATATATTAATTCCGTATACATAATTATATAATTATCAATACATATAATTTTATAAACCTATAGAAATTTTTTAATTGTGAATCTAATGTTTTCTGGATAAAAACAAGTCTCAGGGACTGCTGAAGCCAAATTTATAGTTTATAGACTTTTTGTTTGTCTGTCTGTCAGTGTATTCACGTTTCAAGTCTAAACTACTAACACAGACAAACAGAAACAAACTTTTTTATTTTATTCAATATAAATAAATAACAACTAATGAAGTCAGTCCGTCTTTTGTTTAATTACCACTGATTCGGAAAAAACCTCTGTCCTGAGAAGAACCAGCAAGGAACCCAGCGGGACTTTTAAAAAAAAAAACAGTTTACAATCATGTACCTCCATATGTTACACAATTAACAACACAAAACAAATTAGAAATAGCTGTGTTGGCGGTAAAGAAATAAGTCTAAAATTGGCGGGGTCTAATGTACCTACTACCAGATTTAAATAAAGGTATTACTTTACTATGCTTAATTAAATAAGGAAACACACCAGAATTGATAGTAGTATTAAAAATAACGGAAATCCCCCACAGATCTGCAATTTTCTTAATATCAATAGTTTTAAAATATTTTACAATATCGTTTGATAATACTTTCATCATCATCATTACAGCCCTTCACAAGTCCACTGCTGAACATAGGCCTCCCCCAAAGAATGCCACAAAGCACGGTCCTGAGCCACCTGCATCCATTGACTTCCTGCATATCTTACCAGGTCGTCACTCCATCTAGTGGGGGGACGCCCTACACTTCGCCTGCCGGTACGAGGCTGCCACTCGAGAACCTTTCTTCCCCATCGGTTGTCGGTTCTTCGAGCTATATGGCTGGCCCATTGCCACTTCAGCTTACTAATCCGTTGGGCTATGTCGGTCACTCTGGTTCTACTGCGGATATCCTCATTTCTAAGTTTATCACGCAGAGAAACTCCGAGCATAGCCCTCTCCATAGCTCGCTGAGCGACCTTGAGCTTCCTCATCCGGCCAGCAGTGAAGGACCACGTCTCAGTTCCGTATGTCATCACTGGCAACACGCACTGGGTGTACAGTCTCGTTTTCAAGGTTTGAGGTATACCTGACGAGAAGATGTGCCGTAATTTCCCGAACGCTGCCCAACCGAGTTGAATCCGTCGATTGACTTCTCGGTCGAAGTTGGACTTACCTAATCGGACTATTTGTCCCAGGTAAACATACTCGTCAACAACTTCGAGCTTAGTGTTCCCAACAACTACCGGCATAGGTGTGACACGGAGATTAAACATGATCTTTGTTTTGTCCATGTTCATCTTAAGACCTATCCGTTGGGAAACACTATTGAGGTCATTGAGCATAGTGCTTAGGTCCTCCAGCGATTCTGCCATAAGGACTATATCGTCGGCAAATCGAAGGTGATAGGACGGTAGGAAGGTGATGGGACATACGCCAGACATAGTGGCAAATTGTACTCCTCGGACTTCTGTACAATTTGCCGAAGGGTATGTATGTGGTCTATGGTGCTAAAGCCTTTTCGGAAACCGGCTTGTTCGGGAGGCTGGAAGTCGTCAAGTCTGCGCGCGAGACGATTCGTAATGACTCTCGAAAACAGCACGTAGAGGCAGGCTCAAAAGGGAAATCGGTCTGTAGTTCTTCAAGAGAGCGTTGTCGCCTTTCTTGAAGAACAAGGCCACCGCATTTCTGCTCCACGCCTCCGGTGTAATGCCACCTTGGAGGACGGAATTAAAGAGCTTCTGAAGGGCTTCAAGTAGCGGTTTTCCACCCGCTTTCAGAAGCTCCGCTGTAATTCCATCCTCGCCTGGAGCCTTGCCGTTTTTAAGGTGCTGGAGAGCCATTCTAATCTCGCTCAGACTGACGTCCGGGATATCATCGGAATAATGTCGGATAAGACTCGCTCTTGGATCGTTACTCACACCTAGAACCTCTCAATCTCACTCAAAATCTCAGGTGCCCCGGAAATGATGCTGCCACATTCGGTCTTCAGCTTTGACAGTTGGCTCTTTCTGGCAGACAGATCTCTGGCAAAGACTTTGGAGCCTTGGTTCCGCTCGATCGCTTCTTCAATACGAGCTGTATTGAAGTTGCGTAAGTCCCGCCGCATGCATTTGGAGATCTGTCTGTTCAGTTGCCCTTTATGCTGTCAAATCTGTTGAAGAATGTAGCTTCATTTCCCGTCTAACAGCCATGAGATTAAGAGTGTGATCGGAGAGTTTTTGTGTTCTTCTGCGGCGGGTCTTGCAGAACTTAGCGCCGACCGCATGGACAGTTTCCACGAGCTTGTCATTCAAATCGTCCACTTCATTGCAGTCTTCTAGGCACTGAAAACGGTTTTGTAACTCGAGCTGAAAGGTTTCGGGACTTTGGATTAGAGCACGAGGGGGACGGAGCGTTGACTTCATTAGACGAGACCTCTCCAACTTAACGTTTAAGTTCAGTGTGCCTCTAACCATTCGGTGATCCCTGCCGGTTTTCACCCTCGCAATCACTGAGACATCACTGAACAGTTGTCGTCTGGTCGTCATAATGAAGTCAATCTCATTTTTTGTCGAACCGTCGGGGCTCGACCAGGTTCACTTCCTGTGGAGCCACTTCTGGAAGAAAGAGTTCATCATAAAGAGTCCCTCTTTCTCCTTGAAGTCGGCCAGTTGCTGGCCTCTTGGGTTCCGTTGCCCTATTCCAAATTTCCCCACCTTCAGCTCACCGTTCTCTCTTGTGCCTAGTTTTGCATTGAAGTCTCCCATTAACACCGTATATTGGGTTTTGGAGGAATGCATGGCTCTAGAGATATCCTCATACATTTCCTCCACCTCCCCATCGGGGTGTGCCGAGGTTGGTGCGTAAACCTTCAGCGAATACCGTTTGGTGATTCTGAGTATAAGGTACGCAACCCTCGTCGACACACTCCCGATCTTTACAACGTTGTTAACGAGAGACTTGTGGACGATAAATCCGACACCTCCTTGGGACAGATGGTCGCCCTCCCGGTAATAGAACAAGTTGCCGGATTCGAGGATTACCGTTTCCTCCCCCTCTCTTCGGACCTCCGATAATCCTATAATATGCCAGCGTAACTTGTCTATTTCTTCTTCCAGCTCTACGATCTTCTCGTCAGTCCTCAGGGTACGTGCGTTGTATGTTGCCAGGTCGAGTCGTCGTAGGTGGCAACCGAACCTCCACCGGAGATTCTTAGCACCCCCTGCCCCGCCGTTACCATGGTCGCCACCGTAGCCAGGAATAGCGGGGCCGCCGGGGACTGGGGGCCGTCTCTTAGTAACTTTCATTATGGGGGGTATATTGCCATAGTTGCTACGCTTGGCGAGCGGGTTGGCAACCGCAGTTTGTTGCATCTCCTGCCTGTTTCCCTTTGTTGCCTTTTATGACACCCACGGGAAGATATGGGGTAGTGGATATTCTTAACCGCCACTACATGGGATAATACTTTATGAAATGTAAAATTCTTTGTACTTCCACGCATAATTTACATTTTAAGTAACTATTCGGCGACGGTAGGAGAAGAATTCAGTGACTTAGTGGAAAGATCGGAATATCTGTAAAATATTCCTCAAAAACCATTGCAACACACTGATCTGATTCAGTTCATTTGTTGTTAAAACTTAACTGGTAGTTTGATTTGCGAGAGTTGATCTTACCAGTTTGGCATATAATTATACTGTATGTTATTTTAATTTTATTAGAAGCCGTCTCAATTTTGTTCCTCAAATGCAAAGACTTGTCTTTGGAGCACACTTTTAAATATATTTGAATATTTTTTTATATATTCCCTAAATTTGACCCTAGGAGTATAATATGACCTTTCATGATACAGTTCATATAACCTTTGTCTACTCTTATGAACTCTTACTGTCGCCCATTCATTGAATGCCTTCCGAATGTTTTAGAGAGGTAGAATCTCTCTAAAACCTTTTTATATGGTATGTACTATTATCATATTTTTACCATATGATAATAATACATACCGTAATTAACCATTTTAAAGATAAGGTAGGCCATTTTATCCGCCAACAAAAGGACAAAAAAGGAGGATTCTGTCTTTTTCTTCTTTAGATGTTTATGTTCATGTAGGCTTCTGATGAGTCCATCAATTATAATCGAAATGAATAAAAATAACGAAATAAGCGTCGTAAAAAGTAGTGCTAGATTTTACAAATTTGCTGAATTTTAAGCAAATTGTAGGAAATAATATATATTTAACCGGCGAAACATCACATGAAATATCAAGCTGTAAGAACAAAGATTAATAAATCTCGAGATTTATACACTGACCTGTTCCATTGTAGATCTGGGTACTCCAATACTTTCCCAAGAATCGAATCCCTTAGGAATAGACAGTGGCTTAGTATTGTTTGTATTTTTTTCTTTAATAACTACGCCATTTCCGAATCCTGCATTATGTAAAATTTCTTTGGCTTTTCGTACTAGCTGTGGCTCCTTCGATGAATAAAACAATATATGGGCATTATGAATCAACGCCACGCTTCTAATAGTGTCACAAACTAATTTCTTTATTTCACTGTCTAAAAAATATAGATAGGTACATAATATGCATAATAAAGGTACATTTTTTTATTTCATTAGATAAAGTAGCCTTCGTCTATCTGAAATCTACTGTCACAGAAGATTATCCTAAAGTATTATGAAATACTTTTCCTAAAATTTTAGGGCTTTGGCTTTTCCTTGAAATAAATTAATTCTTACAATATAATCATTATAATAATTATATAATGCAACTATATAACTATCTAGGCTTATGAAAATATTTTAAGAATAGAAAATAAGCGTTTTATTATTTAAATATGGATAAGGAAGCAAAATTGCTAATCATCGAATTAACACTTCTATTATAATATTTTAACATTACTTTGACGTTAAAAGATTTTTTATACTACATTTTGAAGAAGGGTTCATATAGTTCTACTGCTGATATCCTTATTTCGAAGTCTAACACGCAGATAAACTGAGCTACGGGCCCTCTCCATAACTCGCTGAACAACCTTGAGCTTTCTCATACGGCTACCATTGAATAACCATGTCTCAGATCAATTTGTCATCATCAGCAACACACATTGGTTATGTAGGTACTTCTGTTTTCATGTTTTGAGGTATCAGTAAATCGAAAGCGAGGGATGTTCTCGCCATTGTTGTTGATACCATTTCAACTCCAGTAGCTTAAAATATCTTTAAATGTAGCGGTTAAGAGTTTCGGGATATAACGTCAGCTATCTTACATACATCTTACACCTAGTACATACCCTGGTTATGTATTCGGAGAGGCATCGTAGCCTTGCTTACAAACCCTTCATTACTTAGATACCAACGGTCTACTTTGGTATAACAATCAACATGGCAGCGCTGAAAGGACAGCATTTAGCACTGCCCAAATTTCGACGGAATCGAAGGCTTTCTCCTATATTATATACAAAAAGTGGCAGATTGTAGTCCACAGTTCTCTGAACAATTATTCGAAGTGTATGTGTATGTGGTCTATCTGGATGTGAATGACAAGCTGGTAGAAAACGTGCATGCGGTTGAAGTTAAGTTCTGCAAGATCTATCTCAGAAGCACCCAAAAACTCTCCGATCACACTCTTAATCTAATGACTGATAGATGGGAAATGAAGCTGACATCTTCAGCAGATATGAGCGCATATACCAACAGACAATGAACCAATATATCACCAGATCCAAGCGGCGTGACTTACGCCATTTCAATACACCTCGAATTGAAGAAGCGATTAAGCGGAACCAAAGCTCCAAAGTCTTTGCTATGGTTTGAAAATTCCCGACGATTTCAAATTCCCGGGACTCAGGACAGCCTACAATCAATGTCCCGGGAATTCCCGGGACTTCCAGACTTTTAAGAAAAAACTTTTTGTTTTTTTTTTAAGATGGGTAAGCCTTTTTGAAGAATTTTAATTGAGTTAATTTCTGGTGAAACGTATTAAAAAGAGGCAATTTTTGTAAAAATCAACATTTATTAAACAATTAAACAGAAAGTTAAATAAATTTAACGTCAATTTCATTCTTAATAATTGTTTTGTTTATTTCTTTTAGTCACACACAAAGATTTAACTGTTTAGAAGTGCATCACTTCTAAACAATTAAATATTTTAGTTATAAAACGAACCTCGACGGATTCAACTCGGCTGGGCAGCGTTCGGGAAACAACGACACATCTTCTCGTCAGGCATACCTCAAAACCTTAAAACCAAATTGGACAACCAGTGCATGTTGCCAGTGATGACTTACGGATCTGAGACGTGGTCGCCTCGTACCTGTAGGCGAAGTGTAGGGCGACCCCCCACGAGATGGAGTGACGACCTGGTAAGACATGCAGGAAGTCGATGAATGCAGGTGGCTCAGTACCGTGCTTTGTGGCATTCCTTGGGGGAGACCTATGTTCAGCAGTGGACTTATGAAAGGCTGTAATGATGAACCTAGTTAAAAATCATACTAATTCTTAATAACTTTACTATTATCTATATCATAATCTCATTGTTAATTCTCATAATCACATATTTATTTAATTTATTGTGTTGCGTACTCAGTAGTTACGTAGTAGACCAAGTAATTATTCATTAAACTAACACATAGCGCTAGGTTCCTTCAATCATTTGAAAATAAAAATGATTACATAACAATTTCGACAATCTTGTCTCGTCTCGAGTCTTGACCCGAAAGTCCCGGGACTCGAGACAACTAAAATTACGAAAAGTCCCGGGACTTGGAGACACGAGACGTCCCGGGACCCAAACCCTAGTCTTTGCCAGAACTTTTCTTTTGCAGAAAAGAGCCAAGTGTCGAAGATCAACTATGACAGAGACATTTCCGGTATACCTCAAACTTTGAGTGAGATTGAGAGGTTCAGAAAGTGGTTCACATAATTATTTCAACAGACACAAATATGAGTAACGATCCAAGAGCATATCTCATTCGACGATATGGCTATGATATCCCTGACATCAGTTTAAGTAAGATTAGAATTACACTCTTCCTCTTTGATGTGATGTGAAGATAGAATTACAGTGGAGCCTCTGAAAGCGGGTAGAAGCCAAGTACTTAAAGTACTTCAAAAGCTCTTCAATTCCTCCTTACATAGTGGCACTATTTCAGAGGCGTGCATCAGAATTACGGTGAACTGGTACATCAGAAAAGGCGCAACGGTCTATTGAAGAATACAATCCGATTTTCCTTTTGAGCCAGATCTACGTGTTGTTTTCTAGATTCATTATGAATCGTCTTGCACGCAGACCAGACGACTTTTATACTCCCAAACAAGCCAATTTCCAAAAAGTGCACATATAGCTCGAAGAACCGACAACAGAAGAGGAAGGAATGTTCTCGATTGACGACATCTTTTTTGAAATGAAGAGATAAATTTCTTAAAGCTCTTCATTTCTCTTACCGGTTTGCAAAGGGCGGCCCCCACCAACAGGAGTTAGGATCTGATAAGAGATACAGGAAGTCGATGGATGCAGGTGGTTCAGCACCGCGCCTTGAGATATTCTTCATTGGACTTTTGAAGGGCACTCACGACATATATGATGATAATATGATCATCATATAGATAGATTGAAAAAAAAAAACTTACCATAATTTTTAAAAAGATCATACTTTCCACCTATAATTATTATTTCCTCGAATTGTGTACGATCGGAATAGTCAGAAACAGTCTCTGTGCATATCTGTAAGGTATTCCAAATCGTCTTTATCTTGCTCAAGTCAACCATAATAACAAAAATACTTTTTTTGTATACTGGAATAGACGTTAAAACATTTTTCATCATTTCTAATTTACCACCATACTCCCATACGTGGCATATTATTTTTTCTATTCCTTGCCTTTGACTAGATTTTCTTCCGTATGAATATTCCAACACTAAAGTTTCTCGTGGAGTTTCGGTTTTCTCAAGGAAACTATTAAGAAGTGTCGACTTTCCCTAAAAAAATAAAACATGATATGTACTATATTTTATAACACTGCATGATTTAACTTACACCTGCCTGCTATCATGGAAATTAATTTTATAAGTATTTAGTTCAAACTAATATTTACGTAAGGCTCAAATTTTAATCAAAGGTTCAGGATTTTGAATCTTATCCCAAAAATTATGTGACTTTTGAAGGATATTTTAGAGAAGAGGTAATGAGGTACGTACGGTAATCTTTTCGTGATCGCCAATCAAGCTAACACAGTCAGAAAAGATTTCTCTGAAGAACAGACGTTACGGCATACAAAGGTGCTCATGATGTGGAAGATATGTTATTGTTTAAAACATAGGTACTTTAAGTGGGCTACTCTCCTACATAATATCTACGTAATTGGTTTTTCGGAAGTGGCTCTAACGATTTTGATTTTTGATGAAATTTTCTATTTAGATGTTTTACTTATATTTATAGATATACTTAGTCTGCTCATAAGTTCTGTCAAAAACTTTTTATAAAATTAATGATACAATTTTTGGTAATTATATAGAAATTGTATATTTTTTTCATAGAACCATGCCACAAAAATAAAAAATAAACTATTACTAATTAAATTAACCTTTACTTCAAAAATCTCACCTAATATAGTTTTTATTAGTAATAAAATTAAAAAAAAAAACACTTAATTCACTTGCGAGTGCAGTTATATACACAAAGTAATAAGAAGTGCTAGTATGCATAATTTGTAACTGCGCTGCGCATTTACATATTACCTATGCATACTAGCGGTAATTTTTTTAATTACTAGAGATATGTATGCCTCATAATCGGACGTAAAAACTCTCAAGCGATTATAATCGCTAAAAATAAGTAAGATAATTCTATTTTATATGTGTGGTTCAATACTGTGCTATTTATGTATACTAAATTTAGGTAACTTAGGATTCATGTACTATAATAAACAAGTGGTAAAATTAAGAAAAAGGAAATAAATAATTTTAAATTTATTCCGCCGTTTTGTGGATTTCGCTTAATCTCGAAGGCAAATCACTACAATCGCTTTAACAATTTTTGTTCGTTTTGGCATTTTAAATAAACAAACTCAACAATTAGCAAAAATTAACTTTACAAAATAACAATAAACTGAATAATCGAAAGTAAAAGCAATATAAAACTGGAAATTCAAATTACAAAACGGCTGATAGGCACTTCATACAAAGTGCTGGGCGCTAGCATAGATTATACACATTAGTGTTATCAGGTGACCCGATTTGCCCGGGACGTCCCGATTTTCAAGGATTTGGTGACGCGCCGCGATTCACCCATGATCGGGACGCCAAATGTCCCGATTTTTACTAACCTCCTCAGTTTTTTGTACTGCGATCGATTTTATGACAGCAAGATGAATACATCTGTAAGCTGTTACTACTTTTAAATATTTAAGCATTGAGATTTCATATTTTTTCACCAAACTCGGACTAAATAGTTAAAATCCAAGTTTTAAATTTTACGCGTAATGTGCTAACGAGATACAGATATCATTCATACTGTTTCGTTTTATTCTCTCACCGAGTGATGCCGCCTGCCCAGCCACGCCGCTATGCATTGACGTCGTCAATTCGACCATTATTTATTATTTAATTCTTTTAGTAATAATTAGTACAGTACCTAACTTATATGCTGCGGTTTAGATAAGTACATTTAGTAAAATGCAAAGGTCTTTTGGGTTAGTTCTTCCACTAGTCAATTTCTTCAATCGGTTATAGATATTGTTCATGCCCAAAGGTTGGTTTCAAGACTTGACGCCGGAGGGCGCTCGGCTCGATACGGCGCGTTCATAACCGGTAGAAATGTGGGCGGTTAACGGGAGTTTTTGTTGCCAGCTGGCCGCGTCCGGAGATTGCACGTGGTTGGTTCCTACCGGCGGCGGGGTCGAGTTAGTTGCTCGAATACAGTGCTGTCGAGAGCACGTCGTGAAGTCACCCGGGAAACCTCCATTTTTTTTAGAGTCGGTGGCAACAATTTGCTAACAAGCAAATTGTTGCCACGACGAGGTTTTTTGTTAAGTCTAGAATTAGACGCCGGGTTAATAAATTGTTAGGAAGTTAACATTGATTGCGATCAACGTCTGAATTGTGCTAGAAATAATTGTTGCCACGCGAAACGGAAGTGACCTTTGATCCGAACATTCGGTATTCGTGTTGTGTGTTACGCTTTATAATAAACGAAAGTTCACAGTGAGGAAGAAAGAAAGTGACTGTGGGTGACGCCGCTGGAGATTACCACAATTTGGAGCGGTGCCGAAGTCCGGGCTGCAGCAGACTTCAACGGTCCAGTCAGGTCTATCACAACCAACACCACAAAAACACCACTACACTCAACACATACACACCTCCGGCCTGACCGAGGCCTGAGACAGCAGTCGCCTCAGATACAGGTAAGTAATCTCTATTTGACTAGCCTCCCCATTAAATTGTAGTAGGATAAAACATTTTCCATATAGCTTAGTATTATAGGAAAGTCTTCCATATAGCCACTCGGGCTCGAACCTGCGGCTGCTCGTTGAATCTTACGCTCATGGGCCCCGGGAGATTCGATATTTGCAGGGGCAGCTGTAGGCCGTAACAGATATTGTTGTTTTCAATAAATAAAGTGACATTATGCGTGTGATGGAAGGATTTTATTTGTGTGTTTGAGGTTATAATTTAATTATGAATGAATGTGTGCTTTTTTATTGTATGATGCCGTTTTTAAGAGTTTTATGAAGTGCATGCGTTCTGAGTTCATAAGATTTATTACTATTTTCAGAATAAATGTTAAATGAAAATTCGGAATCTGCAACGACAAATAATAATAATAAATAATAATAGCATTTCGTAGACACAGTCGCCTCCCTCCACTTGCTACGTTTCGGTGACCTCTTTAGGTCATGGTCACATGGTGCGATACAGGATCAGGTTATTAAGACCAACAACTATCGAAGATACATCTTAAAGGATGGCGCCGTCGACATCTGTCGAGCTTGTCGCCATTCCAGTGAATCACTTGGGCATGTCATCTCTGGTTGTTCGGCGCTTTCTAACTCTGAGTACTTGCACAGGCACAACCTAGTAGCCAGGATTCTACGCCAGGAGCTCGCTCTGAAATACAGTCTCGTGGATCTGAAACTGCCTCATTATAAGTACATGCCGGAAGCCGTGCTCGAAAATGATCGCGCCAGGCTCTGCTGGGACCGGACCATCATCACAGACAGGGCCATTCTGCGAATAAGACTGATATTGTGCTGGTAGACGCGGCACAGTCAAGGATATTATTGGTCGACATTACCATTGCGTATGACGAGTACCTCGTGAAAGCCGAAACAGATAAGCGAACAAGATATCTGGACCTGGCTCACGAGGTGACCGAGATGTGGAGTAGACTGCCGACCGAAATTATACCTGTAGTCGTTACTGCGAACGGGTTAATCCCTGTCAGCCTCTCGGGTCATCTGAGGTGAATGGGAATCCGTGACGGACCGCTCCAAGCTCAAATGTAGAAGGCGGTGCTCCTCGATACCTTCCGCATCCTCCGCCGGTTTCTTTCCCTTTGCTCCTAACCGTTCGGCCTTTTGGTCTCCCCTGCCGAGGGCTTGCATCTGGTTGGGTCTTTATTTATTTATGTATTTATTTTATTTTATTGATATGTATGTATGTTTATTTTCATTTACAATTATATATTCATACAGCCCAACCAGATGAGAAAACTATATAGATACCCCACATAATAATAAATTATTTATTTCGTCAAACATAAAAATTACATTATATGATCTTTCTCACTGATAGGACTTTACTGATGGAGTATTTTTTATCAGTTGGAAACCTTCTTTTTTGAACTGCATAGCTTTTAAAAGAGCACGTTGTGCACCTTTCATCTCCAACATTTTACTCTTACCCGTCCCTCCCCAGATTGGGATGCAATATGTTAGTGTAGACTGTGCTAACGCCATATAGATTTCCATAGCTATATTACTTTGGGTTTACTGGTCACCCAATTGTTCCCCCGGCACGGCATATCATAGAGTCTTAAATATCCAGATCAGTTCCCTGACCCTGTCTGTTACTTGTTCAAGATGTTGGCCAACCATCACTCCCAGGTACTTAGTTATGTCAGTTTTTTTAATAGCAGGATAAACACAGTCTGCCAATTCCGGATAGAAATTGCAAAAGTGTATTTTGATTTCAAAATCAAGAAGAGGTTGTGATTGGTTAAGGATGCTGAAACAAATAAAGTTCGTCTTGTCTGTATTTAAGGTAAGAAGATTATCGTTTAACCAATTAGCAACTAAGCTCATACCTAACTCAGTTCCAATCTCTTTCAGTGAAAATAACAGCAGTATCGCCGGCGTACGAGAGAATACGGGCTTTATCGATTTTCAGACAAAAAAGATCGTTAATATAGACTAGAAAAAGTGTGGGGCCCAATACACTACCCTGCGGCACGCCGTACGATACCGTGACATCATCGCTCATGAATATATTGAGCTTCACTCTTTGAGTTTGATCCGAGAGATAACTCTTAAAAAGTGACAGTGCAGTGGCTCTTATACCAAGTCTTTCCAGTTTATGTACAACAATAGGTATAGAGACTGTGTCGAAGGCTTTTTTGAGGTCCAAGAATACTGACAAACATTTATTTTCCTTGTCCACATGTTCAGTTACAATTTGACTTAAGGCAGATACTGCGTCCTCTGTGGATTTACCGTGTCTGAAGCCAAATTGTGTAGAAGATAGAAGTTTATATTTATTAAGGTAATTTAAGAGTCTAGTATTTATTAGTTTCTCTATTATTTTTGAAATTACCGGGAGAATTGAAATATGTCTATAGATACCAACTACACCTCGATCACCCCTCTTGTACACTGGGGTAATTAAAGATTTTTTTTAGGAAGATAATAGGAATACAGTCCTAGCCCGTTACTAGATCTTAGATTCATGAGGATTTTTTCCACTCTTTTTCGTCAGTATCTAAG